ACGACCTCCAGTCCACTCAGTCCCTAATCCATGGTGCACTGCCGACAACCGACCAATCTGCTTTTCATGTGGTCTACCCGGGCATGTCGCACGTCTGTGCCGGCGCCGCCCGCTCCACTCACGTGAAAACCCACGTCCACATGTGTATGATCACACGTACACTCCCTACACACCAGACCCCGAATTGCACCCTCCTCGACCAAGCCCCCGACCAGCTTCTAATCGCCGATCTCCTCCACGTCGTCGTTCATCCTCCCCCATGCTCCGACGTCCCCCTAAAATCTACGCGGAAAACTAAATGACGTAGTTCCCAAGGCAAGAACTGCGTCCTCGTCGCAAAGCAGCAGCCTTCTTCGATCGCCGCCGAATGTACTTAATGCTGTTCTTGAAGGTGTACCTATACCTGCCCTTATTGATACTGGTGCCGCCATTTCCGTCATCCCCGAAAACATTTGCCGTTCCATTCAAAAAGTGACAACGCCTTAATTGGGTTCCTGTCTTCATACTGCCGCTGCACAGCGTGTGCATCCTGTGGCCGCGTGTACCACCAGACTTGTAATTCAAGGAACGCCCTACACAGTGCAAATCGTAGTACTCCCGCACTGTTTTCACGACATTATTTTAGGTTGGGATTTTCTCTCCCATCACCCAGCCGTCATTGGTTGCGACCGTGCCGAAGTCGTCTTTTGTCCCCTTGGTGATGCTCTACCTGCGTACGGTCGCCCTTCCTACGCGAAGTTGGTCATTAGTGACGACACACAGATCCCTCCACGCGCTACTGCCTTCGCACCTGTGTTGTGTTCCGCCGTCGTCGACGCTACCGCATTCTTCACACCTTCCGCTGATTTTGTTAATCGCCACCTCCCATAGCTCCCAACCACTCTCGTTACTCTTCAAGGTGGTGCGATTGATGTGGAGAATCCATTCCTATTCACGATTACGCTGCTTCGGCGCGAATGTATAGGCTGAATAGGAACATTCGAAATCATCGCTACACTTGACGTTCCTAATGAATCATCGAAAGTCAGCGCCTTATCCTGTAGTTCCGTGAATGGCCATTCCACTGCCGACTTTCTCAACCGTGTCATTGACGAAGGCCTAAATCCAGAACAGGGGTGTGAGCTTTTGAGCCTCTTTGAAAAGTTTCGGCCATCTTTTGACAGTCACAGTGCTACTTTAGGTCGAACATCTGCTATGTGCCATCAGATCGACACAGGTAATCACCCACCATTACGGCAGTGACTGTACCGTGTCTCGCCGACTGAACGCCGTGTCATCGATGAACAAGTAGGTGACATGCTAAAGCGCGGCGTCGTTCAACTATCAAACACTCCTTAGGCGTCGCCGGTTGTTGTAGTTGAAAATAAGGATGGCACAATACACTTTTGCGTAGATTATCGTCGTGTAAAAAAAATAACTCGAAAGGGTGTTTATCGTTTGCCTCGAATCGATGACGCCCTCGACTCTTTACAAGGCGCAGAGTTCTTTTCCTCCCTTAATCTACGCTCTGGGTATTGGCAAGTGCCCAATGAATCCAGATGATAGGCCAAAAACTGTCTTTGTAACACCAGACGGCTTATACGAATTTAACGTGATGCCATTTGACCTATGCATTGCGCTGGCAACAATTCAGCACATGATGGACACTATCCTACGAGGCCTTAAATGGAACACGTGTTTGTGCGACTTAGATGATGCGGTGGTATTCTCGCCCGACTTTCCCACACACCTTCGTTGCTTCGAACAAGTTCTACGCTGTCTCACTGTAGCAGGGCTTCAACTAAACTTGAAGAAGTGTCACTTTGGAACAGGCAAGCTGACAATTCTCGGACACGTCTTGTCGAAGGATGGCGTTCTCCCTGACCCCGCTAATATACAGGCTGTTCGCGAGTTCCCGAGGCCTCCGTCTCTCTAGGAACTGGATAGCTGCATTGGGCTTAGCTCATACTTTCCCACTTCGTCCGGGATTTCGCCTCGATCATGGTACCTCTGACAGACCTACTTCAGCGAGACCGCAATATATATCTGCGTGGTCTCCAGCCTGCGACAGTGCCTTTGCGAAATTCCGTGAACTGCTTAAAACACCACCCAAACTGCGCCATTTCGATTCAAGCGCTCCCACAGAAGTCCATACGGACGCCAGTGGTGTCGGTCTTGGCACTGTACTCACCCAACGAAAACCTGGTTACCAAGAATATGTTGTTGCATACGCGAGCCGCACTCTTACAAGAACAGAAGCAAATTATTCAGTAACTGAGAAATAATGCCAAGCGATCATCTGGGCCATTACAAAATGTCGGCCTTATCTGTACGGCCACCCTGTCGATGTTGTTACCAACCACCACGCGCTCTGCTGGTTATCCTCCGCCAAGGATCCCTCCGGACGCTTGGCACGATGGGCTTTACGGCTCGAAGAGTACGACATCAGTGTGATTTATCGCTCAGACCAGAAGCATGTCGATGCCGATGCTCTTTCACGTTCACCTTGATTCTATTGATATTGCGAGTGTCTCCATCCAAGACAACTTACTTCCACTATGAGGACGCATCGACATGGCTGTGGAGCAGCGCAAAGATTCGTGGATTGCATCTTTGATGGAGAACCTATCTGAAACACTCACCCACCCGCCATCTCGAGCGCTACACCGACAAGCCTCTCACTTCGCCATCCGTGATGGAATACTTTATCGTGGCGACTACTAACTACCCTGACGATCGCAAATGGCTACTCGTCATACCCAGGCATCACCGTGCCAGCGTATGTGCTGCCTTCCATGCCGATCCGCAGTGTCCACAGGCCGGTTTGTTTTAAACCTACGCCATGCAACGTTTCCGATTTTATTGGCGCGGCATATACACATTCGTTCAAAAGTACATTCGATTTTGCACACAGTGCCAACACCGCAAGCATGATCCTAGCCATCCTACTGCACCAATACAGCCGTTACCGTGCCCAGTGTGACCATTCGACCAGGTTGGAATAGACCTTTATGGTCCTATATATATCAGCGGGGAATCGATAGATTATTGTAGCGATCGACCATCTCACGACATATGCAGAAACGGCCGCTCTACCAGCCGCAACGGCACGTGACGTTGCGTCTTTCGTGCTGCAACGTCTTATTTTGCGTCACAGCGCTCCACGTGAACTTTTGAGATTGAGTACGTACATATTCAAGGCGCAGCCACGTGATTGCAAGCATCGTCTGAAGGCTCGCGAGACGGGAGCCCTCACGATTACTTTTACTCCGTCCTGACTTGACCTCCACGACGATGGCCCGATATTTGCCAGGCAAAGCAGTCCATGGAGGCCGACTATGCATATCTTGACGGTGCAGCCACGTGATTGCAGGCATCCTCTGGCGGCTCGCGAGACAGGAGCCCTCACGATTACTTCGGCTCCGTCCTGACTTGCCCTTCATGATGATGGCCTGGGGTTCGCAAAGCAAGGCAGTCCATTGAGGTCGAGTACGTACATCTTCAAGGCGCAGTCACGTGATTGCAGTCATCGTCTGGAGGCTCGCGAGACGGGAACCCTCACGATTACTTTTACGCCGTCCTGACTCGCCCTTCACGACGACGGCCCAATATTCGCCAGGCAAAGCAGTCCATGGAGGCTGACTATGCACTTCTTGAAGGCGCAGCCACGTGATTGCAGGCATCGTCTGGAGGCTCGCGAGATGGGAGTCCTCACGATTAAGCCGCGTTCACACTGAGCATTCCGGCCACCGAAAGTGCTCCGAATCCGGTTCGGCGGCGGCGAGATCCGCCGAAAGGGCCCTCTCCGCGCCGATTTTTGCGGCGTCTGCCGCCGAATCGGCTCGCCGCGAACCAATAGGGGGCGCTAGCCGAGGAACTCGAAAAAATGGCGGCCGAGAGCAACTCGCTTGTCTTGTCGCAGTCGAGTAGCGTGCGCGTAGCTGAAATGCTCATCGAATTGGTTCGCAACCACCCCGTCCTGTACGATAAACGTCACCCGAAACACAAGGACAGCCTGCTTAAGGACGACTTATGGGGGGAAATCGGAAGCGAGTTCGGAATGAATGGTAAGTACGAGTTTATGTGCCTATATTGCTTTGCTCCTTATCGCGAACACCTTGTGCTGTGGAAGTACTCATGCTTCTCGTCCGCGTTGCAACGAACGTGGAAACGCACGCGTACTGGCCGTTTGATCGCGCTCTGCAGTGCGCTGTTTGATGTCAACAACGGAAATGCTAGACAGACATCGTGCTCATTGAACTATGGGCTCAGCGATGCAGGTACGCTGCAGGGGAGACAGCGCGGGCATTGTGCACATCTGTTCACCATCCTGCTTGCCCTGCGTTGTATTCACGAATGCCGCATTTGAATTTGATTTGACACCGAAAGGCAGCACGTTTGTGCTGGCTTGACGCATTGTAAAGGTGCATCATTTGAAGCCCGTTTGTGCTGAATTGAACACGGTAGCAACCTAATTTAAGGTCTAGAAACGTTTCCCAATACGCTGCTTAGCTGGTTGAATAGGGCGAGTGGGGCTATACTTACCAAAAAGAAGTAATGAAAGCATAGGTGTTTTTCTAAAGCAGGTGCACTCTGCAGCAGGTCCTCCCCTCTAGAAATAAAAATTTATCACTACGCGCAGGGTTAAAAACAGCGCGCATTTTAACGAGCGAGTCATACAGCTATGCATACTTAGATTGTCTTGTGCATTACGTGCTGCTCTTTCGTCCCGTAAATATATGCAAGCAACTTACTGTTTTGTGAACCTAGCGACATTCACCTCGTGTCGGTGTAAAATTTTCAAGGATGTGAAAAGCATGCCTAATACGTAAACTGAATTCTTCACAGGAATGCAAGCACATGAAAAATTCAAGAACTTAAAAGACACCTTTACGAAACACAAGAACAAAATTAAGGGCTCCATGAAAAGTGGTGCAGGGGCTGCAGATGTTCCCACCGTCAAATGAGTGCATTTCGAGGCAATGATGTCCTTGATGGGTCCCATACTCAAAGAACCAATGTAAGCCAAATTTTGTGATACTTTTTATTTTTTATAAATCAATCAATGCAATGAAAGTGTACACAACTTCAAAAAAAACAACACAAAGACATACTTTTCTCCTGTATGCAGAACTGCCGGCCACAATTGCACATGCTAAAAAGAAAATCACAGTTTGTTTACTTGCACAACAAATCAAGAATTCATTATTGCCCCTACAACAAAATACGTCAGCTGAGAACAAATATTGCAGCCACGATGAGCTGATAGAATGGTAGATAACTACTGCATAAAATTCTGAGCTTAGTAGTTATGCTGTTGAGCAATTTTCAGAGTGACACATCAGTGAACACGTACACACGAAATGCAAAGCACAAAGTAAACGTTTCATAGTTACTGATGCACTGGCCTCACTGCTTGTTGATGTCAAATAAGCTTAACAAATAAATCAGCATACTTTTATTTACAAAATCGTAAAGACTACAATGAGGAAGCAATTACACCAGATGACATTAACATATTTGATTAGTAAATGTTTATAAGAAGAACACAGCGTACTGCATAACTTGCTCATTGAAATTTTTTAAGGCCTGATTGCTGTAGCATAACTAAAAAAATGTTAATATTTTCCAGCATTTCTACAAACGTAGGGTTCATCAATCCCGATCGGTGAGTTGTAAGACAGGTACCAAATTAACTTTGCCAGCAGGAAAATGCATAAGGGTGCTAAGAAGATGATGAAAACAATTGCTATCACCTAAAAAGCCATTTTCTGCATGCATACCAAAGACGCTAACAATCAAATGAACGCGTGAAGGAATGGATGTCGCAAAAGTGAACGTTGTGAGGTGCACTTTTTTATGAGTCAAGCAAATAAGGCTTGCAGTGCAAAAGCATGTTACCTGATAAAGTTAACACCACTTGTGCATTCAGAAAATAAAGTTTAAGCAGTATCTCATCTCGTAATATTATTGTGCTTTTGCGACATTCACCAACAATAATTATATCTCATTGATAAAATGTTACTTTCTCCACATCACAAATGTTTCACGCGAGTTCATCTTTCCGACGTTTCACATAGAGCATCAGGTGAGCGGAGTCCGGCGCCTGCAAGTAACAGCAGCAGTGGCAACGCAGATGAGGGCCAGGTCGACTACGACAAATATGTCACAGTCATCTTGGATGAGCCTCTAGAACAACCTGCATCTTTGTCCGGTGCAACACCTGCAAACACCGAGACAGACAGGTCACAGCAATTTTTTTAACATAAAATATCCGAAGTGAAACGTTGCACGTTTAATTTTACTCTTTAGCTGTAATACAATATTCATGTACCCAACACCAATCTACTTTGTAGGTCAGACAGTCCAGAGGGTGAAGAAAATACAAGGAAGCAGGCTGAGCGGTAATTTGTTCCAACAGAAGCATGACAGCTTTTTTTTATCCGGCATTCGCACTTGCTATATGTTACGATCTTTCCATTTCCTGGCGTTATGTCACTCAGTTTTCTCGTTTTTCACTGACAGGCCACGCAAGGTTCCAAGAGTAGCGGCCAGTGGTGCATCGTAAGAACTAAAGCTTTGACAATGTAACGAACATGTGTCTAAAGTAGGCATTGCTTTTCTTCAGTTCATCAAAGACAATCTCCCACATTGACATCGCAAGCGAATGCCTTCAACAACTGCGTGCCGTCAAAACAGCACAGGAATCCAAGGAAGAGCACAACCTTCCTTATTTTTTCGGCATGACATTGGCGCAACAGCTGCGCTGGTTAAACTCCCACCAGCCAGTAGATGCTATAACAGCAATACAAGAAGTGATGCAAAAAAAAAAAATCAGTGAAGCAAGGCTTGAACTCGAATTCGGCGATTAGCGTTAAAATGTTCTTTAAAATTGGACTTTTAAATTGGACTTTAAAGTATTCTTTAAAATTGGACTTTAGCTAATTACTTGCTTTTTTACAACACTGATTTATTTTTTTATGAAAGTACAGAAAATAAACTTGGATTGGACTTGCGGGATTTAACGTCCCAAAACCACCATACGATTATGAGAGACGCCATAGAGGAGGGCTCCGGAAATTTCGACCACCTGGGGTTCTTTAACGTGCACCAAAATCTGAGCACATGGGCCTACAACATTTCCGGCTCCATCGGAAATGCAGCCGCCGCAGCCGGGATTTGAACCCGCGACCTGCAGGTCAGCAGCCGAGTAACAAAATAAACTTAGTAAAGCAAGTGAAAAGATTTGTATTTCAGGAAAATATAAATTTCACTTTTCGAGTGGCATCTCCCCTAGTTGAAAAACAAGGAAGGAAGGAAAATAGGAGGAAAAGAACGGCAGGGAGGTTAACCAGCCTACAGGCAGCCGGTTTGTAACCCTGTGCATGAGAGGGTGATGGGGGAGATAAAAGATAGAGGAAAGAGGGAAGAGAGATAAACACAGCACATTCGGCAGCCCACGCACGCACACTCAGTCATTGTCTAGTCTTGTCATACACTTTTCATGCATATAGTTGAAAAACAATATGCATGAAAAGTGTATGTAGCAAGTGTTTTGTCGCAGCTTTGCAAGTTGAGTTGATTCTGTTGCGCAAGTTGCTTGATGTGTATTGTGAATTGTAAAGAGCAGACCTCAGGACATACAGCAGAACACCTCTAGCTTTCATCTTTGTTTGAAGTCAGTACTTTCTTGTTTTGTGCTGCAACATAATGCACACTTTTTAAAACATCGTGGCAGTTGTGTCTACGTTTACAGAACCGTTTTAGTGTTTCATCATAGACATCACAAGGAGGATCAGGTTGTTTCTCTGCATGACTGTCATGATAACAATAAATGGTGCACTCACCACTGTACAGTCTTGTGTCCATTATCTTGCTCTCTTGCCAAGGCACCTTGCCGTTGGTGATGAAGTGCTTTGCCAGGAGGTCCCGCATTTCGTAAGCAAACCTGGGAGAAAAATTTCTAGACAGTGAAATACACTGTACCACAGCACTGCAAATTACGCCGCTCATATGGATGAGCTTTTATTGTGGCTAATGCTAGTGCATGGCTTACAATTTAAGGCCCACCGTGAACCTTGCCACATGAAAATATCTTTACCTTGTGGCGTGGCAGCCAGTCTTCGGTAGAGATGGCAGAGCAGCACTGCTGGTGTCATCAGCCCTCCAGTTGCCTTCGGTGATGTTACCCTGCCAGTCAACCTGATCAGCTGTCCCTGGAGAGCAGTAGGCGCACCGAGATGTCTCCCACTCTTTCATCATGAAATTGTGAAGGACCACGCATGCGGAGATAATTCGCCGGATGTTATCGTCTTTGGCTTTGAAAGAACGCCGCAGGATACGCCATCTTTGAGCCATTATGCCAAATGCATTTTCGATCACCCGACGGGCTCGGCTTAGGCGGTAATTGAAAATCCTTTTGCTGTGTGCCTCCGCAAAGGCGATAGGTTCGCAGTTGGTTTTTTCTCCTTGAGATGCCTCTTCAGGTGTTGAAGTGAGGAACGGTTGAAGACCTGCATAAATGGTTATCCCCGCACCTACATGAAAAACACGTCATCCTGATAGAGCTTCACAGTAACGCAGCACAGAACACATAGGCACACGATCAATGAACACATTGTGCCATGTTTTTGTTTCATGTTCATGAAAGTTGATCAAAAATATACTTCCACAGAGAAAAGAAACATACTTTCAAGGAGAAGCGCCAATATGTGGTGAAGTGCTTTAGAGCCTCTAACATAAACCAATCACTGCGTTTAGTTATGGCATCATGTTTCGGCTGCTTGTCACTACAGTGATTTCAGTGTACTGAACCACCTTAGATTAATAGCATAGAGCAATGCACTCCAGTACTAAAAGAAATCAAAGGAGCAACTTGACTTTCCGAGGATACGGCCGCATCAAGTATGTCTTCAAAGGAAACGCTTCATCTCCGACCAGGTAGAAAGGAATGCGGCCAATGTTCCCCAGTGGTGCATCAGGGGGAAATCCTTCATTCTTCGAAAAGATAATATGAGGCAGTTGGCTTTCGCTGAATACTCCACCATCTGAATTGCTCCCATGGTGCCCAATCTCCACATAAATGAACCTGAAAATGTTAAAACATTATTTCATCAAGCACTAGCATGCATGTCTTTTATGATTGTTTACATGCAGAGGCCAAAACAAATAGATAGCAACCGTCCATGCAAATACCACGGCCGCTGGAAGCTTTTTCATCCAGTGGCCGTGCAACTACAAAGCCTGAAATGTAACATCAGCTTTTTAAAGGCTAAAAATTACAGGACTGCTTTTTCACCATTTTACGCACAGTTACATGTACATACTGCCACTTCCTACTTTCTGTTGCATCGAGAGTAAATAAACATGTACCTGTAGCAGGCGTCGCTGACAGCAAGCATCGATTTACTGAAGAAGTGTTTGTAGTTATAGTCCTCACTTCCCGATTTGGTGTGTTTTCCATCAATTGCACCCACACAGTGGGGCATGTTCCAACTTTCCTCAAACTCTTTTGCAATCTGATGGAATGAAAATATCGATAACGGCTTTTGTGGGAATAACACACGTCATGTTTGTACAGCAAAAATTAAGGTAGACGTTGAACAGGCAGGCCAAATGTTCCAGGTTGAACGTATGCAACATGCATTTATAACGTAAATTTTACCTGTAGCCACTCGCCTGCACTTGATGGACGGGCAACGTATATAGGACCAAGTACATCCCAGAGCACCTGGCACACTGTCGACACAATATAGCACGCTGTCGAACGACCATTTAAAAAGTTGAAAGATGAGCAACGAAGTGTTTTACCTGCAGCCAAGAATCTGAGAAGAAATAAATGTAGAAGCAAGGAGAGTGCACGTTTTCATGGTGGTGTAGGATTTAAGTAATGAGAAAATGTCCATATTTAAAAAAAATAAACGTCACTCACAACATCCCCCTTTACGACATTTCGTCGGGTGGATTTTTGCAGTTACGACTAGTTCTTAATGTTAATTAGCGAGACAAACCTAATGCCATGAAGTGCATGCACGTACATAAACAATGACCCTTTGACACTATGCAATAAAAAAATTTATAGTAAACATTGCGTGTACCAAGCTAGCCGCATCTAACTGAGCGAAAAGTGTGAAATGCTCGCTCCTTACTTCACATTTCACAGCCACACTAAGCAAATGAATGCTCTGGACGATTCATAAGGCAACCTTACCTCAAAGTTTGTGCAAGTCGGTGCTCGGGACTGATTGCCTTCCGGAAGTTGGTGTCCTTTTTTTCAATATGATGTTTCACAAGGTGCAACAGCGTGTCAAAAGTACGTGGAGGCATCCTGATGTACCTACGGAGATACAAATGGCACTGCGTGAAGCGCTACAAAACACCTATGCACCCAAGGGCACCTAAGCGAACGTTGTAATCAGAGTTGAACTCACTGTCGGTAAAACTCCACGTCTCGATCTCGTAGAAGAGGTAGCAGTTTGTTGGCCTGACCAAGGTTGGCGCGTTCCTGCAAAGCAGGCCGGACCCAACAACGTAACTGGCGTCGTCGTTGCTTCAGCGACGTTTTTTCCTCTTCTTTATGCATTGCAAGGCTGCTGCTTGCCAGAAGAGCTAGCAGCAGTGCTGCTTCTTGCTCACTTGACAGCATAGCGGCTTAAGATAACAGTTTAACCGCGCAAAACAAAAAGATCGAGCTCGTCACGGGCACACTAGTGTTGCGAGCCGCTGACAACATCCGGGGAACGGCTGACCCGTTCCGCGCTCGCCCCGTAGTTTATTGTTCACTCGGTAGATGGCACGCTATGGCTATATTCGGCGAATGCGGCGGCGTGGGGCGCATCCAGTGCGAACAACGCTGCGTTTCGGCGGCAGGAGAATTTCGGTCGCTGTAAAAAGCGGATGCTTCAGTGTGAACTAGGCATTACTTCGGCTCCGTCTTGACTCACCCTTCATTATTATGGCCTGAGGTTGACAAATCAAGGCTGTTCGTGGAGGTCGAGTGCGTACATCTTGAAGGCACAGCCACGTGATTGTAGGTATCGTCTGAACGTTTCAACCGCACTCTTGGCGACATGCTGTCTATGTATGTCACCTCCGACTACACCAACTGGGATCTTATCCTTCCCTACGTAACATACGCTTACAACATGGCACCTCAAGCGACGACATGCTTTTCTCTCTTCTTTTAACTTTATGGTCGAGAGACATCACCTCCAATTGACACCATTCTCCCCTCCCGACCCAACTCATTCGACTACACCAACTGGGATCTTATCCTTCCCTACGTAACATACGCTTACAACATGGCACCTCAAGCGACGACATGCTTTTCTCTCTTCTTTTAACTTTATGGTCGAGAGACATCACCTCCAAATGACACCATTCTCCCCTCCCGACCCAACTCATTCGAAGGAACACCAGTTTCCGAAGCCGCTCGGTATGCGGAAGAATGTCGGAAATTAGCTCGCACACTTATAACACAAGAACAAGGGCTACAGAAATTTCGTCACAACGATAGACGGTCCCACTACCAGTTTTCGCCCAACTTTCTGGTTAGATTATGGGTGCCTCCCACTGCTGCTCCTGGTACCTTTACAAAGTTTTTCAGCAGGTACCATGGACCTTATCACGTCATAGAGCAAACTTCCGCTGTCATCTATCTCATCGAACCCCTCACGCCCACTGTGGACCTGCGTCACCGAGGCCCCGAAATCGTACACGTGGATTGTCTCAAACCGTATAACGAACCACTTGTCCTCACGACACCTTAGAACACCTACTTGGCTCCGTATACAGCGAGGGGGAAATATGTAATGAAGAAGTAGTGGGTCATGGAAAGCTCGGCAATTACATCGTCAGTGCTATGCACGAAACGGTCGCCCCAGGCGTTGTCGGTGCTATCGCTGGCGAGGCCTACGCTCCTTCCTGGTGTCAGATAACAGTTCTGGCTGTCTCAGTTGTTTATTATAAAATCAACAAAAGTGCAACCTGAAGATAAAGGGTAATACACCCGGAAGGAATTAGCAAATTGGTTTCGACGTATTATTGCACCCACTATGAACAATTAGTTTATTATCTTAGAAGCAGCAGGAATTGAAAGTATCTGGCAATATATATATATATATATATATATATATATATATATATATATATATATATATATATATATATATATATATATATATATATATATATATATATATATAGGGAAAGAAGCGTATACCTAAGGGCTCGTTTTTCCGTGTTTTTAACACAATATTAATGAGATATAACAGACAGTAATGCCAAGGAATGTACAGGGGAAGTTATTAAAATCAATGGAATATAAATAAGAAGAAAGAAAAGTGGATGAAAAAATTACCAACTGTGAGCAGGAATCGAACCTACCCAAAAAAGTGGATGGAGGGAGGGCCGCTGTGATAGCTCAGTGGTTAGAGCATCGAACGCGTAATTCGAAGGTCGTAGGTTCGATTCCTGCTCACAGTTGGTAATTTTTTCATCCACTTTTCTTTCTTCTTATTTATATTCCATTGATTTAATAACTTCCCCTGTACATTCCTTGGCATTACTGTCTGTTATATCTCATATATATATATATATATATATATATATATATATATATGCGTATCATATTTTTGACAAAAAAAGAGCAGTTGTAGATACAGTAAAGAATAATTTGAAATAAGTATATTGAAACAAACATATTTTTTAAAGTGCTGCCTCATTACTCTCCCATTCCCCTCCACATGCACACGCCAATATATAATAATAATATTATTAATAATTCTATTATTATTTTAATTATTGTTATTATTATTATTATTATTATTATTATTATTATTCTCGGGTGTTTTACATTCCAAAACCACATAATATTTCAGACATGCCATAGCGGGGCACTTAAGAAATATTTACCACCTGGGGTTTCCACTCGGTGGCGGACACGCACGAAGAAGAAAAAAAGTAAGTCATCATCATTGTCACTGTTAGGCACTCGCGCTTTGCATCAGGAAAAGACGATGACGGCGCACTCTAGGGTTTTATCAAGTGGGCTGCAGCTAACTTGGAGCAGGCAATATAGCATTGCAGAAGTTCCCAGGGAGACCTGGTGGTCGTGCTGAAAGAATGAGGGAGAAACTGAACGTTGGAAGCAGTTGCAAAAGCATGGACACAAGCGCCTCCACCAGAACTGGCTGTGGTATCCTGGATGCCTCCAGACGCAGTAGCCATGAACGAGATGATGTACCCACCATCGCAGCTAAAGCATCGTCCCACGCTAAGCTTTGAATTGCACTGGCTTTGGCAACAGCCACGGGGGTCACTTTTCTCGTTTTCGCCGATGTCTCGACCAAGCTTGTCACCACGGCTACTATCATGTGCTTCTGCCTGGTCTCGTCAACTATGTACCACCTCGAATGAGGCGTATAAACCATTTGGCGTGCTGCCGGTGTGGCACGGCACCTGTACCGAGGCGGTAGGTTCGTTCGATTCACCTGCACCGGTCGGAACCGGTTCATGGCTGTGCACGCGAAGCTCAGAAATTGTGCAGCGTGAGTTCAGCGGTGTAGGCACAGCACGACACCCGAAACAAATGACGATGTGCCAACCAGGTGTTGGCCTTATTTCTTTTCGGTTAATTTACACCATTCAGCAAACACTGACCTATGGCGAAACGCACATGCGGACAGTTTATGAGGCGCGAACATCTTGGCAAAACACACCACATTTGTAGAGGCGGGTACGGCATCTAAGCCACCTACGTCTAAGTGCTGCGTCGTCTGCTCAGCTGCACGCGCGCCTGCACCAAGCCGGCACCGTCAGCGAAGAAGGTGCAGGAAAATCGTGAACCGGTGCTGCACCTCTTCTGCACCTTTCGAAACGAATGGCAGGGTTCAGCGGTCGTCAATGCTGCACCGCTGAAACGAATGGCAAGGTGCAGCACCTCGTGAACTGGTTCACGTGGTGCAGGCGAATCGAACGGACCTGGTTTCTTCCACTTCCAGCTTCCGCCCGCTTGGTGCGTGACATCTTGGAAGGCGAAGTGCGAACGTACAGAACATGCACTGATGGCAAGACGTAAATTTATTTGGTGTTTAATTGATGATGTTTATACATCATTATTCTACAACACAGGAAATAAAGGATGACATAGAACAAATACAAGGTGGATACCGCGGTCTTCTGTGGGGTGTTCATAATAATGGTTTTATGATATTTTAGAATGTTCCTTTTTGGTGGCATTGCAGTAGCGAAAAAAATTCGATCGCGTGAAGGAGGCGCAAAAAATCCACTGGCTTGGCTGATGACACTGCAAAGCTGTTGCATTAAAGTTATCTTGATACTGATGGTGCATTTGGAAGCTCACTGTTTTAAATTATTATGACCCACGGAATGGTTCGATGAGGCTTTACAGCGGAATTGTTCAACATGCGAGACACAGCACCGCCTCTTTCTCGTAAAGGCACCGTAAATCAATGGCTGCATTCGCTAGGGGAAGCCGGGCCACCCGGAATGTCGGATCCGCTACAACGCCATTTGGTCGATAGACTGAAGCTCTGTTCATTGCAGGCTTGCTTTTATCGGCGAGGGCCTAACCCACAAAGGCAATCAGCAGTTCGCTCTCTTCGAAGGCCCATGATGTCATTCTCTTTCTCGTGAGGACTCGGACAGGAATGCAGCGCGAACAAACGCAAATATCTTCGCGCTTGGGGGACCAGGATAAGCTGAACTACGAGACTGACGACGCGTTCAGAAAGCAAGCGTTGGCGGCGGGTGCTCTGCTGCTTACGACAGGCGCGTGCTTGTGGTGGTGGTGATTTTAAGAAGAGGAAAAAGGCACTTAATACCTTTCTTCCTCTTGTGCGACATGGCACAGTGCCTTGTAGGGGAGGAAGGAAGGGGAGGTAAAAATAGTGGAAAGATGTAGAAAAAGAAATACAACAGGCAAGTGACCGAAAAAAATCACAGCATATCCATGAAGTGAACGATGACAAGTGGGCGATTTTCCGGGGGATCCTTAACTGTGAATTCTCCCGCACAATGCCAGCGCTGCCGTTTCACTGCAGCTGCATGAGCCCTCGCAGCCTCTGGATCAGCTTGCCGACGTTTCCGTGCCACTGCAGCTTCACGATCCCGCAAGTCTGGTCCGCTTCTCTACGCTGCCATGCTGCAGCCGCTCTGTGAGCCTGAAACTCTGGACTGCGTTGGCACGCAGCCGCGCTGCGCAATCCATGACCACCGCCGTCTAAAGAGAGAAAGAGCACCGTACCCCCAGCGGTCTTTTTTTTTCAAACCGTAGCACGCGCCAGGAGCGAGCGCTGGCGCCGCCTCGCCCCCTACCGGGTGCTTCCAGTACTAATGTGTCACGCCAACAGACAGGGGACTAGCTCGACCCTAAGGAGCTTCGCCCCTCAAATAAGGAGATACGAAATTTCGGGGCCGGTCGTAGGTTCCGAGGACGGGGCACCACAGCGAGAGCCTCACGGCGTCAGGAGGTCGCGGATGGTGAACCAGTCAGCGAGATCTATTCTCGCGTCGGAGAACGCACGTGGCACGACCGTTCAGCTTGAAATCCCCCGAGCAACTCCACGTGGGTGTGCGCGTGGTTGAAAACAAGCAGGCGTGCGGTTCATCTGCACTCTCCCACCTCTGCCACTCGAACCGTTCGTGACCAGAAGAAACGGCGCTGGCGCAAATGGTTTCTCCGAGCAGAGACCCGAGGCAAACGGCGCCGCCACCCAGCGTCATGCAGACAAAACCATCATGGGGGTTGCCCCAGCTTGACGTCTGGTTCTTCGGTGCCGACGACGA